GTAGTCTGTTTTAGGTTCTGATTATTTTTGTGTTTGTGTTCATGGTGGGTGTTTTTGTTGCTGTCAGGTGATCAGTCAGACTCTCAGCCCGACATGGAATCAGTGTTTGCCGATGGGCCGCCTGATGCTGAGTGGAGACCTGCAGCACATCCAGGAGGAGCCACCACGCATTGTCATCGAGGTGTACGACGAGGACGCACTGGTAATGCTACTTTGATACGATATGTCACGATTCGTCACAATACGAAACAATACGGCACAATACGGCAAGATACGTCACAATACATTACAATTCGATGCAATACATTACGATACGAAACAACACGATACAATACAAAACGAGAAACTAATACTTTATTCTCAGCTCAGATCTAAATGTTTTCTTGCATTACAGCAGCTACATCCGCAACATCAACAAAAACTATTTTAGGATTTACTCGACAAAAGAGTGCTATCATGAGAACCCATATTTCTGATTTGATGTTAACAATTAATATTCATAGATTTTCTCAAAGCTTGATACAATCTTTGAGAACATTTTCATTTGGTTGTGCACTTTTGACTTTAAAGCAGTTGACACACACATGTAATACTATAGAACACTCATAATCAGAGACATAAAAAACACAAAAATGTGTCTACTCACCCCAAAAGACTTAGCGTGGTAGACAGAATAAATGATTTGTTTGTGCTTAGGTAGATTCACTGAATTAGTTATTTCCAGTGTAGCAGATGGTCCATCCCGCATTGGTTTAATCAATGTTTTAGGTAGTTTTAATTGAATTGGGGGGTCCTCTGTCTGATTTCCTCCTGCAGGGTAAGGCGGAGTACCTGGGAGCCACGGTGGCAGTGCCTGAGGTCCGGCTGGCCTCCGACGCCTACACCCCCCCGACTCTGCAGTACAGCTCGCTGCACTGTGGCAGCCAGCCTGGGGGAGACCTGCTGGCTGCATTCGAACTACTGCAGGCCAGTCTATTAAACGTTTAGTTTCCATCCTGACTGAGACCGCAGAAATGTGATCCAGTTGTTTTCCATGGCCTACTCGTATCTATCTGATGGAGTTTCACAAAAGAATACAACACGTTATATTTGATTTGATTTAATAAGCAGGTAAAATCCAGAGGGTTTCCTTTGCTTGTTGATATGAAACTTAAAATGACACGGTAAGTAAACTGTGTGACTCGACAGTGTAACTGAAGTAAATGCGCCAGGGAGCGTTCTCTTAAAGTAACGGTACACAATGCAAAATAATTAAGAAGGTCTACTCTAGAATAATATATTAAACTTAAATATAAATCTCAATAAAATATATACTTGTCCATTATGATAACTGTACTTGTGATATACGAATATTCAAATAAGAAACAAAATGAAAAGAAAATAATGGTAAAACTTTGAGAAAGATAACAAGCAGGTCCTTGTCTCATGCAATGATGATGAACGATGAAGAATATAGAAAGAATCTCTTGTAATGATTTAGGTTCGTTGTCATGAATGTGTAGATCCAAAAGTCCGCAGAGCAGCGTCTGCCGGCGTTGGAGGAAGGAGAAGACGGCTTCTACACAGTCCCTGCCAACATCAGACCTGTTCTCAGTACCTACAGGCTGGAGGTGTGTGTGTTTTCGGACTCTATGCATGCTATGTATTTGGTACCCTGTTTCTTTATTTTTCTCTAGAAAAAAATGTCAATAAAACATTATATTATTCTACTATCGATGCTCTTTTGCCATTATACGATTGTTTTTATCTTGATAATATAAAAGGTTAAGGGGTTTAAAATGTTTGCACTACAGGACTTTCTTACGTCAATTTTATAGTTTTTTCTATCAAAAATATTTGGACTCATAATCCAACCAGAGATGTTATAGTTACCAAACCTTTTTGTGTGTGTTCTGTCCACCAGGTGTTATTCTGGGGTCTGAGAGAGCTGAAGAAGGTTCAGTTCCTGTCTGTTGATCGTCCACAGGTACACACACACACACACACACACACACACACACACACACACACACACACACACACACACACACACACACACACACACACACACACACATACCATGTATACATTACTTCAG